CCCCCCCCCCGCGCTAGGAGCCACGCACTCGAGGCCCGCGTTCGGCCCTCCGCCCACCCGGCCTTCGCTCTCCTGCGTGGGAGACCCAGGCGCGGGCCGCCGGGCCACCGCGTGCGAGGCAGGGTTACCGGAGCGAGCACGGCTGAAGGAGCGGGGGCCGGAGGGCGGAGGCTCGGCCGCTCGGGTCCCCGCGCCTCCCGGACGCTGCCCCGCCGCCCAGGCGCGCTTCTCCGCGGTGGCTGTGCCCGAGGCCCGCGGAGTCTGTGGGTCTGCGCCCGTCCACGCGGGCCACTGTCACAAGTCCAGCGCGCGGTAGGTGTTGGCACTTGCATGTTTCACACAACGCCATCCCTGAGGAAGCGTTAGGATGAGACCCGCTAGGTGCGAGGAACGGGAAGCGGCGAGTCTCCGGGAGGGCATTTGGACGCCCTCACCGCGGGCGTCCGGCCGTCGCTCCGGCGCCTGCTGAAGCCTCCACTTTCAAGCCCGAGCGCTGAGAAGACGCAGGACGAGTCTGCGCGAGTCAGCTCCGCTGGCTCTTTCCAGACAGCCTCGAGCCGCCCGCGGCTCCTCGCTGCCCCGCAGGCTCACGCAGGCAGCTGCGACCCGGAGCGAGTCCTGCAGGCCTTTGCCGCCGCCTTTTCCGATGGCGGCTCAGCCTCGTCTTGCTGCCATTGGGCGCACAGTTTCTGTTCGGAAAAACAAAATCTCCAGGGAGGCAAAGTAGCAGGGGACTTAGACGCTGGCCAAGTTTGTTACTGAGGAAAGTTGCACTCGCCACGTAAAATTCAAGAGCACAAAGAGACGGGAATGGAGAGTGAAGCTTCCTGGCATTGTGCTCTTGCGGCGCCCCACAGGTAAGGCCTCTCCACCCAGCCTCGGCCTTTGTGTCGGAGGACTGCTCTACTCGCTGTTGAGCATCTTGCATTTGTCAGCATAGCTTAAACACATTTCTTCTCCAGTCCCATCTTGCATTTGTCAGCATAGCTTAAACACATTTCTTCTCCAGTCCGTGTCGTTAAGTAAGGACCTGTCTACAGCGGTCAGGTTGGTAACAAACCAGGGAAGTGGATCGGGCAGAAAGAAACCATCCTCCATAGGAAAAGGAAAGGCACAAAGTGTGATTAGCGCCACCTCCAAGTGAGAACTGAGGTCCCACTAAGCTTAGCTCCTGCCACCACTGGAAACTCTGGCAGCCTACCACTTCATTTTCTACTTTTCCAAAAAAACCCAGAAAACTGAGTTTTATGGAGACTTTTTCAATTTGAAAATTTTGATCCTCAAACTAAAAAACAAAAGCAAGATAAAACTTCATCGATGTACCAATGTTAACAACTCAATTATTCACAATAGCTAACGAGTAGAAACAGTTCAGTAATTACAGGATTTCTGTTTGGAATGATGGCAAAGATCTGGAAATGGATGGGGCTGATGGCTGGCCACTGATTATACTGGTATCGCCCACACAGAGAGGTTAAAAATTATGAAGAGCAAATGAAACAATGCACACATGTATTATCCCAATTTAAAAAAAAAAACCAGAAACTAATTCACTTTAAGATGTAAGTATATACAGAATTTTAAAGGTAATGTATGGTATTTGTTTTACTTATTTTTACTTAAGGACCTGGAAGTTGTTAGGGACTGAGTATTGGTACCATCCAAAATTCCTGTATTGCAACCTAACCCACAAAGCAAGAAAGACAGTAAGAGGTGTAGGCTCAGAAAGTAACTAGGTCAGGAGGAAATGAGACTGGTGCCTTCATGAAAGAGGCTCAAGGGAAACTCTGTCCCTGCCAGGTGGGAGGACAAAGCCAGAAGAAGCTATCTGTGAGACAGAGTAACCCTTGACAGAACGACCTGCTGGTGCCTTGATCCTAGACTCCCTGTCCTGCAGAACTGTGAGTGATGCATTTCTGATGTTTGTACATTACCTGGTCTTTGGCTTTTTTAAAAAAATAGCATCCATCCCAAATGGACTAAGATGGAAATCCTCTAAGATTTTCACAGGTTCAAATTCATTTGTTTTGTGATAAATAGGACTTGAAAATTGAAAAAATAGAATAGTAGGCCAACAAAAACAAGTCCATAAACCAGATGTGGTCCTTTCTGTAATATCTATAATGAGTTTTAAAATGTTGCAAAAGTTTTTAGATGTTGCTTTAAATGTTTAAAGCAAAGTCAAGGATTACTGGTTGTCCAGGCTGCACCAATACCTGGAGGCCAAGAAAGGGAGGAGACAAGGGATTCTCCCCTTGCTAAAATTGATGGGTGGCTAAGTGAAAGTCAAAAACTTTTTCTCAGTGATAGAGAGAAACCTGGATGACCTTCTTGGGAATTCAGATATGGGGCCACAGACAGCAAAGCCAGCACAAAAGGCAGGCTCAGCCTTACTTCCTGGCCAGGGGTAGAGGTGGGGTAGGAGGGGCTGGTAGCATGCCTGGCCCTAAGCCCCAGGACAGACTGCTGGCCTCCCTAGAGCCCCAGGGCCTGTTGGGCACAGACCATATGGAAAACGTGAGGCAGGAGCAGAGCAGAAAATGCTCTGTGCAAGCAGAGCAGGTCTCAAAGGGAACTAAGCCCTGCACTCCCTCATCTCTCAAATCTGTCAAGTGTGTAAGCCCTCTTCTCCCGGGGACAGAGGAAGGCCTGGGCTGTGGCTCTCCTAGGACACGAAGGAAACACTGAGCCTGGTAAGTGAGGGTTTTCCTCTAACACTAATGCCCAGTAAGCTTAGCTTTCAGAAATCAATATATTTTGCTTATAGAATTCTAATTTGAAAGATGTCAGTTGCTACAAAGTACGTAAAACATTTGCAAGCTTACTCTTTCCTCATAGCACATCTTACCAAAATAAGTCTTTGAAATGGAGTCAGTTTCTCCCAGGGAAAATTTATAGGATTATGCATTTCTTCATTTTCATTCAAAAGTTCTGCTAGATGTGATTTAGAAAAAGAGAAATTGACAATCAAATACTTATATCACTAGTGGATGTCACAATACACACTTATAAAATTATAAAGTTTATTTTATTTTATTTTTTTTAAATTTTATTTATTTATTTATGTGTGTGTGTGTGTGTGTGTGTGTGTGTGTGTGGCCAGCTCAGCCCACCAGGGGGCGGGGCTGGCTGGCATGCGGTGCTGGGGGATTGAACCACGGTCCTGGTGCTTTGCTAAGCTTGTTCTAAGTAGGTGCTTTAGACCACTGAGCCATCTCCCCAGCCCTAAAATTATAAAGTTTATATTTTTAAAAATACATAGTTGACTTTTGAGCTTTATTTCCACAATATTTGAGGCACTGACAAGTCTCCTTCGTATCTTAAGAAAGGTATCCCTGAAGGTAGAGGTAACCCCCACGTGGTCCATCTCAAGTGGCCGCTGTGGTGTGGTGACAGAACAACACAGGACAGCCAGAACTTCACAGTGGGATCACTCCCAGGCAACAATGACGTGCCAAAAAAAGACACAGGAAGTGGGAGCGCAGGGGATGCAATACACATCCTGCGCCTCCTGCTGCGTCAGTCCTGTCTTCACTCCCGACTCTCTGCAGTGCAATTATTGTTACTACCGAGGGACGTCGGATTTCCAGTCATCTCCCAATGTTTAACTTACTGTGAAGATACCTCTTTTCAATGTAGCTAATGTTTGCATGTTGATTTTAAATCATTCACATGAAAATCTAGTTATAAATGGATAAAGTTGGGGTTAACTGTAAAATGAAAAAGTACTTTACAAAAGGGTCAAAAAGGAGATCCTTAAAATAAAAACTATTGATTATTATATTAAAATAGATTGTGGCAAGATAGATCAGCAGACTGAGCACCTGCTTAAGCAAGCTCAGAGACTGGGATTTGATCCCTGGCGCCACATGCTATGCCGGGCCCTCCCCTGGACACCCTGAGCAGGCCACCGAGACTGGGCATGGTGACGCACAACTGTAATCCTAGGGCTGGGGAGGCTGAAAACAGGGGGATCCCTACAAGTCCGAGCTGTACAGTGAGACCCTGTACCAAATACATAATAATAATAGTAATAATAATAATAAAATTAAAAAATAAATAAAGTAGATCATGGATTACAGACCGATTTGTGATAAATACAACAAAATAAAACATTAATTGCTTACAGAAAATACTTCAGGAGTGGGAAGGCTTTCTTCATTAGAATTGGAAATCAAGAAGCTATGAAAATGGTCATAGTTGACTAAACAAGCATTCCAATATTTGAATAATCAGAAATCATAAACAAATCCAACAGACAATTAACAGACTTAGAAAAATACCTAAAGACACAAAGATTTTATTTAATGTAATTTACTTAATGCAAAACATGAATAGGATTCTTACAAAAGGCTGAAAAGGAGATAATCCAGCAGACAAATCTACACAGAATATGAACAGAAAAATCCAAATGGTCAAAAAACATCCAAAAAGAAACTTAAACTTACTAATAGTTAAATTAAGTTGAAAATATTCAGAGCTTTGCAGATTGAGACAATTTTTTCCTGTTGGAAAAATGGTGCTCATGTTGCTCATGAAAACATGAATTCTCACAATCATTTAAAGAAATTCCCTGGCCAGCAATTATTAATAAAAAATGATTTGCTGTCTACCAGCAACTCAACTTCTGGAAGCAAAATGGAGAAAGATATGGAAGAAAACAAATTTGAAGGTATCCAAGTGGGGGTAGTAGTGGCCATAGCTGGGAAAGACAAGAAGGAGACTAGAGTAGAGAGAAGGGAAAAGACAAAAATAGCAAGTAACTGAAAGTGAGATCATTCCCTAAGGTATTTTTAGAACACATTTCTGTCATACAAAATGAAGGACCTGCATAGGGCTGGTTGGATTCAGGTTCAAAATTTAATCACACTCAAATTCTGATATTTCATCACTTTCTTGTCTATAAATATGAGGTTTATAAAATCATTTTGTAAGGTTATTATAAGGATTACCTGGGATAAAACATGTGCTTATGTCGTAATTATGTTCTTCAATTTTTCAGCGTGAGGTAGTGAGCTGTTTGCAAATTGAAGACCCACCTCCCCACGCTCACGCTTACGTCAGGGCACGGCCACGCATGCATGGTCCTTACTTTCTTCGGACGACTTCATGCTTTCTGATGGAGCAATCTCTGAGCAGAACACTGTGCTCATCAGAGAGTACACAGACTTGCTGTTCTTAAATGCATTCCACTGTGGAGGGTTAGACAGGAGGGAGCTGCAGAGCAGCGAGAAGGGCTCCAGCTGCCGGCCGATGTGCTGACACTGTCTCCACCGTGACACCGAGAGCCACTGAAGGTGCTGATTTTGGCACATTTCAAATATATCTAATAAAAAAGAAAAATGATAATATTAGAAGAGCTCAGTTCTTTTTTTTTTTTTTTTTTGTATTCAGGACAGGGTGTACACGATGTACAAGGTCTTACTGCATAGATTGGACTCATATGATCCTCCTGTTTACAGCCTCCCAAGTGCTGGGATTACAGGCACCGCCGCCATGCCCAGTCTCAGTCACCATCTCAGTGCACCCTGTGGTAGGGCCGGCACGGCAGGCCTGGGGATCTGCGTCAGCCTAAGCAGGCGCTTTAATTCACTGAGCTATTTGGCCAGCTCCTCAATTCTTTACCTTTAGTTACTCTTTACAAAGTGGATGATTAACAAATATTTGTGGTTGAGGAAGGAACCATTTTGTATAAAACTAATACATAAAAGCATTCTTTTTATTTTGGTAAAAACTCCAAGTAATGTAAAATTTTTCTTAACCATTTTAAGTGTACAGATCAATAATGTATTGGCATTGTTGCAAAACAGATCTCCAGAATTTTTTTCTGCAAATCTGAAACTCCATACACATTACACATTATACAACAGCTCCCCTTTTCCGGTTCTCCCCAGATGCTGGTAGTTATTGTTTTTCTCGGTTACTGCGGGCTCACATGCAGTAAGTATGTGTCTTTCTGTGACTGGCTGGCTTCACTTCACACAAGTGCAATAGTGTGTTGGGGCAGATGGTGAGTCTTCTCCACTGTAAATAAAGGCTCAGCAACCTTTCACCGCACAGATCTGCCATATTTTGCGTATCCCTTCGTCCATTGGTGGGCTTTTGGGTTCTGTTCCCGCTGGTTATTGTGAGGCTGCTGCTCTGAGCATGAGTGTCTTTTCCAGGTTCTACCTCCAGTTTTTTGGATATATAACCAGAGCAGGACTGCTGCATCATATGGCAGCTTCAATTTTAATTTTTTTGTGGAGATCCATTCTGCTTCCCACAGTGGCAGACCATTGTACAGTTTCACCAGGAGTACATGAAAGTCCCACTTTCTCCACATCTTCGCCAACATTTTTATAGTAGCCCTTCCCCTTGAGATAGTGTCACAGTGTGCTTTGATTTGCATTTCACCGACAGTGATGCTGCGCGACTCATGCTGGACTTCTGCGTCCTCTTTGGAGAAATATCTGACTGAGTCCTTTGCCTATTTTAAAATTGTTATTTGATTTTTTGTCACTGGGTTGTACAGAATCTTTAAACATCCTTTATGGGCATTCCTTGTCAGGTAGATAATTTGGATATATCTTCCCCATTCTTCCACTGTTTTCCCACCGTGGGAAAAAATTTGACGTTTGATGTGGGCTTTTTCTCTGCTTTTGCTTTCATTGTCTGCAACTTTAGCGTTGGAACCTGAGCCCATGGCCAAGTCCAATGTCCTGAAGCTTCCCTACACTTCCTAAGAACTTTCCAACTTTAGGTCTTTGATTTATTTAGAGTAAATTTTTGTATTGGATTAAGTAAGGGTCCAACTTCATTCTTTTACATTTACCTCTTAAGTGTCTCACCATTCGTTGAAGGTATTCCTTTGTTCACTAAGTGGCCCTAGTACCTTGTTGGTCACCATTTGAGCACACATGTGAGAGACAATCTCTGGGGTCTGTATTCTATTTCACTGATCTATTTGTCTTTATGTCAACACTGTACCATTTTTTGTTGTTGTAGCGTTATAATGCATATTGAAAAGAGGAGAACTATAAGATACCCATTTTGTTCTTTTAAAAGAGGGCTTTGACTATTTTATGTTTCTTGTAATGACATATAAATTTTCTATTTCTTTTTTACTAGAGTATGTTAGTAATACAGTATGATGAGGCTCATTTGGGAAATTGATACATGCTCGGTTCCACTTTCATAGAGGAAATTTCAAAGCATTCCTTCTCTTTCTATTATGTGGAAGAGTGAGGAACATTGATGTTAGTTCTTTAAAAGTCTGTAAAATTCAATAGTAAATCCTTTGGGTCCTAGGCTTTTCTCATTGGTAGAATATTAGTGCATCAATATTACTGGTCTGTTTAGTTTTAAAATGTCCTTTTGTTTCAATTTTTGTAGGTCATATATGTCTTGGAATCTATCCATTTTCTTCTAGATCTCTGATTTATTGGAATATAGGTTTTCAAAATAATTTCTAATAGTCCTTTGGGTTTCAGTGGTGTCTTTTTATAATTTTGTTATATTTTATTAATATGGCCTCTCTTTTTACGGGCTAAGGACTTACCGATTTTGTTTATCTTTTCAAAGAACCATTTTTTTTTCATTGATTTATTGTCTTATTCTTAGTGTCATGTCCATGATAACATTATTTCTTTCCTTCTAGATTTGGGTTTGGCTGTTTTTTTCTAGACTTCTGAGACAGATAGTTATGTTATTAACTTGGGATTGCTCTGTTTTTCTAATATAGGTGCTCACAGCTATACATTTCCTCTTAGGACTGCTCTCATTGTCCCACTGATTCTGATATGTTGTTTCCATTAATATTTGATTCTAGAAATTTTTAATTTTCTTTCCAGATTTCTCTGTGCCTATTGATCACTGAAAAGCTTATTATTAAGTCTCCCTATGTTTGTGCAGTTTCTGTGGTTTTCTTCGCTATTGAGTTTTATTCCACTGTCATCTGCAGCATACATGAGATTATTTCAATAGTTTTGTATTTATTGAGATACATTTTATGGCCTACTGGTTTATTTTGGCTTATGGTCTGTGGTGTTTTGGAGAAAGTTGTATGCCGAAGAACATGTATTCTGTTGCTGTTGACTGAATGTATAGCTGTAAATCCGCCTGGTTTGTTGTGCAGAGTAACTCTGATGGTTCTTCTTTATTTTCTCTGGTTGACCTACCTGTTCGTAAGAGAGGGTTTTGAAATTCCCCACTATGATTTTATTGGTATTTTTTGGTCCTTTTATATCAAGTAATGTTTGTGTTATGAAATAGGTATATATATATATTTATAATTTTTATCTCTTTTGGTGAATTCTTCCCTTTACCACCATGTAGTGAGTTTGTCTTTTCTGACAAGCTTTGGTTTGACATCATCTTATTGAATATTAAACAGTAAGTCACTGACTTACGAACATTTGTGTTGAGAAGTGTCACAGATACTAACGGATCTTGCATTCTGAACATGTGTGGATGTGAACGAATCATGGGAGGGCTGCATGTGTCCGCTGGGCATCCTCACAGATGTACTGCTGTGTGCCTGCTTTATAGTGTGATCCTACATATCCCGGGTCGTACAGTGCTAGTCAGAGCCCAGGATGACTAAAAGCAAGAAGAAAAGCAGTGGTGATGTGCGGGGACTGCCAGGAAGCACAAAGCGATAACCGTGGAGACAAAAGTAAAAACTGAAAGATTGGACTGAAAGAAAAGATTGTAGATGTTGCTCATTCTTATAACATGAATTGTTACACCATTCTAAAGAACAAGGACAAGATTATGAAATGTGAAGTTTTTTTATGTTTTACATTGTATGTTTGTGTAAAAGGTGTATGTAACTCATTTTGTTGGTCTTACAAACCAATCTGACTTATGAACATTCTTCTGGAATGGACCTCTTCTTAAGCAGGGACTTACTGCATTAGTTATGCTTGTTTTCAGACTCCCCTTGCTTGGAGTATCATTTTGCATTCTTCTGCTTTCTGTGCATCTTTTATTTTTTTATTTTTAACATTAAAGTTGTATTTATTTGTACCCCTCTGTCTTTGAACAGCCAGAGTCAACATGGGCAAATTCAGGCCAGTGCTGTTTTGTCCAAGGGTCACAGCTGGGAAGCAAGCTCGGATGCCACCCTAGGAGTGGCACGGCTGTCTCCCCAGTCCTGGGACATGAATGAGGCCTTTCTGCTGTGAGGTCTCAGGAAGGCCAGCGCGTCACTAACTTCTTGGCATGCTCCTCAAGAAGCCAGCCTCACACTGTGCATCTTTTAGATAACATGTTTCTCTTGTAGGCAGCAAATAGTTGGGTTTTGTTTGCTCCAATCTTCCAGTCTGCATCTTTTACTCCAAAAGTTAGCACAATTTACATGAAGTATTGTTACTAATTCTGTCATTTTGTTATTCTAAAGTTTGAATTGATTTTTGTTTCTTATTCATTTAACTATTCTCCTGTAGAGATTTAGTCTTTCCCTTGGCTTCATGGTTATTTATTATTTTTAATGTATTTGGTACAGGTTATTGCTATTCAGCTTAGACTTATAGTGATCCTCCTGTTTTCAGCCTCCCCAGCACTGGAATTACAGGTGTGCACCACCACAACCGGTCTCAGTGGCCTGTTCAATATGCCTGGGGGTGGGGCTGGCATGGCATGTGGTGCTGGGGATCGAACCCTGGTCCCTGTGCTTGCCTAAGCAGGTACTCAGACCTCTCAGCTATCTTGCTGGCTGGGTGTGAGCTCTTTAAACACTCACTCAATATTGTCAAAGTACTCACTTCAATCCTTACTACTGCATTGCCAGGGCAGAATAGCTACCAGAAATAACATCCAAAGAACCAAGCATATGTGAATATATAACTTGAAACTTGTTTAAAATACTTACTAGTATTTCATTAGCCTGAAAAGATAAAGACATAATGATATAGGATAGTGTGTGTTGAATTAAGAATCAAGAAAAAAAAGTAATTAAAAAAAGATTGTAGAATATTTTTTCTCTAGATTCTTCTAGAATATTTATATACTAGAAGAGAAGGTAGAAATGAAGGGTGTTTTGAGAGGTTATATTATAGGAAGAAGAGAAATGAAGAATACAGGAGAGAATATAAATGAAAAGTAAGAAAAGATACGGGGGAATTGAATCCAATGAATGAACTAGCATAAGCAGAAAGTTGGAAGACCTAAGAAATAACCCTTAGTGTGAGAGAACATGACCAATAGGCACACTGTAGAAGCATGATCACTAACACATATGCAGTTACATACACACATATGTCCCCCACATACACATACAGAGAGAAAAACAAAAAAAATAAAAAATAGGTTTTAATGATAATACTTATACACAAGGAAAGAAGG